ATGGCAGTAAGAAACACAGAATCATAGTCCCCAGGGCAGTTGTAGACTGAGTAGAGGACCACTAGGTCTCAAAGCAACACCACCAGAGGGCAGGAGGGGTGGTACCCTGCATCATGCCCCCTTCTTGCCCTGGCCTGACTGCAGTGTGTGACATGAGGACTTGCGGTGACTCAGATGGGTGCGGGCAGCAGCGAAGACTACGGGTGAATGGATTGCATGGAGGCCGGGAGCTGACTGGGTGACTTGAAAATGAAGAAAGTCATACAGACTTTGTTTATCTCAATCACTTTCAGGCTCACCTAGTTTTGCCTGTGTAGACTTTGAGAGGTCCTTATCTTTCTATCCTTACTTGCTCTTGTATTCCTGGATACATGGTCTCTGACTCTGTGTTCCTGGCTCCCTGCTGTCTAGCTTTGTGTTCCCTGGGCTGACGGTCCACAGGCTTCTGCTTAACTAAGTCCCTTCTAGGACTGCAGTGATAGAAATCAGGAGGGACAACATACTAGCAGTGACTGGACAGTTGTCCACTGATGGTTTGGGGTTGACCACAAGGACAAGATCTCCATTTAGTTCATATTTCCCAGAAATATGAAATCCTACCCTTTGGCCTTCTCCCTGGAAACTGCTTGATTCTCAGCAGGGAGTCCTGAAGGCTCACCAGCTGTAAACCCAGATCTACCCAGGCGGCCTGCTGAACTAGAGAAATGCATTACCATGCTAATGATGTCCTATTTAAATTCTAGCATGATTACTCTGTGATGAAATCTCTTCCCTCCACGTTGGTTTCTTTATATCTGAGTTCTAGTATGAAACCAACAGTGTTAATAAAGTACAATACAGATTATCAAGTCATATACAGGAGATGGAGAAACAGCTGTATAAATCTTAAGGGTTTTTTTTTTAAAGAAAAAAAAAAACAACTAAAGTCAGTTACTGATTTTTTTTTTTCCACCTAACTTTCCCTTATTTAAAAAAATTGCCGGTGGTGGTGGCGCACGCCTTTAATCCCAGCACTTGGGAGACAGAGGCAGGCGGATTTCTGAGTTCGAGGCCAGCCTGGTCTACAGAGTGAGTGAGTTCCAGGACAGCCAGGACTATACAGAGAAACCCTGTCTCGAAAAAACAAAAAAAAACAAAAAATATTAAAATGCACATAAAATAAAGGCTGCTGGCTCAGGGGACATGGAGGCCACTTTTTCATTTTGTTCCCCTCTACTAAGCATTCCTCAGAATTCAAGTATGTGACTTGAAGTCTCCAAACTAAAATCTTTCTTCCTCTCCTCTTCACAGGAGTGTGTTACCATAACAGAAGCCTATGGATTCAAAGGCAGCAGCCATGTCTGTTGCCCTTTGTCCTTGAGACTATTGTGTTTCTGCCCCTTTTCCCATTACCCCAGTCTGAACATCCAACTCAGGGCTGAGGCAACTCGGCTCGCAGAGTGCTTGCCGGTATTCAATTCCAGGACAGCACAAACTAGGTATTAGGAACTGCACGACCCTAATATCTATCAGCCCTGAGGAGGTGGATGCAGAAAGATCAAGAGTTCAAGATCACCCTCAACTACACAATGGGTTCAAGACCAGCCTTAACCACAAGAGACCTTGCCTCAAAGATAAAGCAAAGCAATATCTATCCAAAGGGGACCACTTCATCATCATCAGGAAAGTCCCCATTGTCACTGTTCTCAAGGAGATCCGAGGTCTGCACCCACAGTCTAAACCAAGGAAGAAGGAACAAACACTTTACATCACTCTCCTAACCCCCGGAAGTGAACATAGTCTTGTGGCCCAAGGCCACCATGCTGGGTCCTGGGATACCCTAGTAAGACTTAGAGGCAGCAGTTCAGTTCTTAGTGAATGCACCAGCTGGCCAGGAACAAAAGGCACAAGGATGTCTCCATGGTGAGACAAGCCAGTCCATCTCTGATAGCTTCCTACCAGCAAGAGCCCTCTATATGAACAACATTGCCGATTGGTCCTTAGATGAGAAAAGTTTTCCTTCTTCTACAGAAAGAGAATCCTAGAGTATCAAGGGGCACTCGGCTGCCCAGGGTAAGGACAGCTCCCATCACCCCTGCAGCTGAGTGCCATCCAGTACCAAGGTCAAGTTCAGAACAACAATGACAACAGGAAGTCACGTGTAGATCCCTACAGGAAGCTGTAAAGGGATAGCCCTGTTCTGTCTTTTGCCTCCTGACTGGGTCTGCGTCATCTAAAAAAGCTGTTCAGAAGAACAAGCGAGCTCACATCCCCAAGCTTCCGAGCTGCTCGTCCATCCCAACACAGCTTTCTCCGACCATTGTTAAAAATCACATTTTAAAAAATGTTTTACATTGGGGTATAGATATAGCTTAGTAGTAGGCACAACGTCCTGAGTTCAATCCCCAGAGCCCACATAAGAAGCTGGGTGAGATGAGGCATACTCGTAATCCCAGGCCTGTGGAGACAGAGGCAGGAGGAGTCCTAGAGCTTTCTGGTCAGCCAGTCTAACCAAATTGGCAAGTTAGAGGAGACTTAAAACAAAACAAAGTCAAAGGTACCTGAGAAACGGCACCCAAGGTTGGCCTCTGACCCCCACTCATGTGTGCATGCATACCTAAACACAAGCACACAGACAAACAATGCTATATATTGCTCATTTCTTAGTTTTACCTTAAGATATTTTATCTATGGGCTGCATAGATGGCAGCAATTAAATACATGTACTGCTCTTACAAAAGACCTGAATTCAGTTCTCAGTACCCACATTTGGTGGTTTGCAAGTGCCTGGAACTTCAGTTCCAGAGGATCCAATGTCCTCTTCTGGCTTCTGGGGGCTCTGCGTTCTGTATGTGTCTAACCCTCTCCCCAGAATCGTTCACTCGATTGTTGGTCTTTTATTGTGTTTGTTTGTTTGTTTGTTTGTTTGTTTTAATTATAAGACCTAAGAAACAGGTATTTGGCTTCAGATTGAAAAGATTACGGAGCATCACGCCCACACAGACCCAGCTCCATCTTCCCTGCTTGCTTGAGCTACATTTGACTTTGGACACAGAGTCCCTTCTGACTTGCTGTCTCCCAAGATCCAGAAGCAGCTGAGTCCAGACTATGGCCCGGTTTTATTGCATTACAATGGGTGAAAGCTTCAATTCACACAGGAATTTGTTTTCTTTTAGTTTCAATTACATGAATACACATACGTCTCTGTATGCGTGTACATGTGAGCGCAGTACCTATAGACGTCAGCAGAGGGCGTCACGCCATGAGACCCGAGGAGCAAGCATGGGTCCTCTGCAAGAGTGCTTGCTTCTCACCATTAAACAACCCCCCGGGCCCCCAGAAATACATTTTTTTTAAAAAATGTCTTTGTTACCCGCTTTCTCACCAACACATAGATTGTTTATTTGAGTGATCCAAAGCCACACCTTCTCAGCCTCGAGCACATGCAAGTAAACACACAGGGAGAGGGTGGCTGACCCAGCATAATGCTATCAGGAACGAAGCACAAAGATCCCCACCAGGAGCCATCTGCAGCTCAGCCGTCTCCTGTAACATTCTCCAGTTGCCCTTGTTTATGTTTTATTCATCGTCTTGAAAGTGTTTAGTGAAGTAACAATGATGAGATTCACAAACACTGCACAGCGCTTTTTTTTTTTTTAAAGAAAGATATTAATGGCTTTAAGAGCTCACTCGCCATTCAAATGAAAATATCGTTGGGTTAGATTCGCTCAAATCTGTTTACGTCTCTTTTATTCTTCGATATAATCCATTCCCCCGTTTTGTGTAAAAACCGAGTGGTAACACTGTGAAATATTTCAGTTTTTCTTAGTCATAGACTTTTTAAAATAATAAAATAATAATAAAAATCAACCGCAAATGTCTGTTGGAGCTCTACCCTGCTCCGGTCTGTCACGAGCCAGCCTGCAGGGCCTGGGACCCTGGAGCTCCCTCTGTACTGTGCTTATAGTCGTTCCGCACACAGCCTTGGTCTGCGTGCGTATGGAAAAAAAAGAAAAACTAAAAGGTCTGGCCTCTAAGAGAGAAACGGATGGGTGAGGTGGCTCGATGGGCAGAGACCTGTGCAAGCTCGACCCTTTGCTCTCTCTGATCCCTCTCTCCCTCTCTTCCCTTCCCCCTCATCCCCCCCCCCCACCTCCACGTGTTCCTAGACTCTCCTATTCCCTACTCCCTACCCCTGTCCTTCTCTGTCCCCTCTTTCTCTGCCTCTATTCCCTGCTCAACCCTCCTTCCCATGCCCCCAAATAAACTCTATTCCATACTAAAAGAGGGATGGAGAGGATGGCTCAGTGGTTAAGAACACTGGCTGCTCTTACAGAGAACCTTCTGTTTCTAACACCCACATGGTAGCTGTAACACCAGCTCTGGGGCATCTGGCGCCCTCTTCTGGCCTCCACAGGTACTACACTAACATCCACAAACCCCCTCTCCCCCCACCCCATACATGATTTAAAATAAAAATTAAATATTTTAAAAAGAAAATCAAAAGAGTTAAGATAAATAATGCTCAGCTCTGAGCTGTTGAGCCAGCCGAGGCTTCATTGGCAAGAGACGCCATGACCACTGACCATGTGATTCAAACAGGGAGGGAACAACCGTTCTCTCACACCGTCCAGGAGAACTTTAAAACCTGGCCTGTTCATTACACAGTGGCAAGCCCACCTCTGACAGCTGGAAGTATGGTTCCTTGTTTGGACTTTGAACCTGGAAAACTGGACCAAGGAGGAACGTCCAGCTCAGGATGTGTCCCCGGGGGGTGGGGGTGGGGGGAGCAAACTACATAGCCCACTGTGTCCATCAGCAAATGCAGAACAGAAAAGGTCAGAGAAAGGCAAAGTAAAAGCTAGTAGGTGACCCCACCCCATTATCCAAAACTCATGCCAACAATGTTCCCATGAACTGTCTGTGTGCTCTGTGACTCTGTCACAGTAAGGTGATCTAGCCACAGGATCCAATGATGTCAGTACTACCTTGGCCCGAGGCTTTGGCTGAGGGCTACTCACTGTGGGCGGCTTCCTGGAGTACCAGGTCCTGCCTGCACCTGAGGTAATCCTCTTTGACGCTGCCCAGTCTTCTGACATTCCGGGAACTGAGTGTCAACAGCCTGTCCAGGAGTGTCTCTAGCCCTTCCCGCTCTGACGACAAGGCCCAAACCTCCTCCGTGAGCTCCTTGGCTGTAGAGAAGCAGCTTCCTGTGGCACAGTGGGGGTGAGAGGAGGAGAGGTTTCGCGTGTGTGCTTTTAAGTAACAATTGTATTCTTTGAAAGTTTCATACATTTATATAATGCATATTGATCGTATGCGCCCACTGCTATATCCGTTGATCTCCCTCTAGTACCTACGCCATGTCTTCCTCCCAACTTCATGTCTTTTTTATTATTAATGACCCCTGATTAGTGCCGTCCATATGCACATGGGTGTGGAGGCCATCTATCAGGGCATGAGCAACTTGCCAGCAGCCATGTCCCCAAGGGAGGATGGTTCTCCCTCCTTCATCTATCAGAATCTCCTCCAGCAAGGAGGAGTCTTTTCAGTGCCTCCCCACGCATGCTGGTGTTTTCTGTAAATGAACTCTGAGATCCTTGAGTGTGCACACTGGAGACAACTGTATCCTGCTGCAACATGAAGGGGTTGGGAATTCCTAGAAGGGATGCCACTGGGAGTTTAGGGCCTCTGAAAATGATACAGAGATGTCCATCAGGACCAGGGAAAGACCCAGGTATCACTCCACCCAGTACCCAAATGTCCAAGGACGGACACAGCAAACATGGTAGAAAGGCACTGGCCTTGTGATTACACTGCAGATAAATTAAGCCCTCCCCCTTATCAAAATTCTAAACATATTTGATGGCTAATCTTAACACAGCTGGGAAGGGGGAAACCTCAACTGAGGCGTTTACTCCAGCAGGTCAGCCTGTAGGTATGCCAGTGGGAATTTTTCTTGATTGTTAATTGTTGCAGGTCGGCCCAGCCCACTCCTGGTGGTATCATCCCTGGACAGGTCAGTTGTACTGAGCCAATAAGACAGGTAGCTGAACACCACCCTGAAAACAAGGCAGTAAGAAGCAGTCCTGTGTGGTCCCTGCTTCAATTCCTGCCTCCAGGTTCCTGCTGGAGCTCATGCCCTGGCTTCCTTTAGTAACTGTCTGTGACCCTTCCTCCCCCAGTGTCCTTATTTCAGCTGCAGAGACCTAACTAAGACAACATGAGAATAAATGGGCGCGTTTGGCATAAACGTGTTGTGAAATACAATCGTAATAACACCTGAATTGCAGGTGCCTGCGGGAACCACAGGCGGCTGGGGCCAATAAGAAACAAAAGCCATAAAGCCCCGAATAAAATATACCAAAATCAGAGAGTATCGAGGTACAAGAATCGCTCATGTGTCTAAGCAGCAGCGGCGGGCCACGGTGAGACAATTTCTCTGAAATACAGTTTACAACATATCTTAGGACGAAAAAGTATGTAGGGGTGAGTTTAAAGGACCCTAGGCAGAACTGGAAACTGCTTCTGAAAACCCCACTGAGAGGAAATAAGACTTAAATAATTGTGGAGATAAACTATAAATGTCCACTGGAAAACTCGGCACTCCTAGGGTTTCAATTTGCCCCAGATTGATGCATAGATTTAATACAATTCCCATCAAAATTTTATGAGGCCTTTTGGTAGAAGTGAGTGGGCACATCCTAAAATGTAAAAGAAAATGCGAAAACAGAGACAAGCCAGAGCCATCAAACAGTCTGCACGTAAGACCCCCCGGCTATTGGTCCATAAATCAAGACGGAATGCATCTGAAAGCAGTAGGCATGTTGTCAGACGGACTGCAACACAAGTCCAGAAAGTGGGCGTGTCCCCCAAGAGCCAACTGAGTGCAAAACAATCAGCAAGGGAAAGGAAATCAGCTCAACAGATGCTACCAAAGCAGCTGGTTATCTATGAAGGGGCAATGGGAAGCCCAACGCATACCCAGGACCACACACAAATCACGTCAGGGGTCAAGAAAGCCCAACGGACTGGCTCCGGAACAGACAAGCTCTGCAGAGGACAGAGCAGGACAATCAAAGAAAACCCTGATAAATGGGCTTCATCCGGTGACGAGCTTCTTTCAGCTCATCCAAAGAGGACAGGCAGGGAAGCTGGACACGGGGCACCTGTGATTCCAGCACTTGGAAGGCAGAGGCAGGAAGATCGGGAGTTCAAGGCCAGCTTTGTCTACACAGCAAGTTTTCGGCCCGTGTAGACGACATACGATTGACAAAAGTAAAGAAAATTTAAAAAGACAAAATGAGAATAAAGGGGAGGGGTGGGCCAGGGAAAGCAAAGGAAGAGGGAGAGGGAGAGGGGAGGGAGGAGGGGAGGGGGAGAAGAAAGAGGAGGGGAGGGATAGAGGGGAGAGGAGTAGGGGAGAAGAGTAGGGGAGAGGGGAGAAGATAGGGGAAAGGGGAGAAGATTGAGGAAAGGGGAGAGGAAGGGAGGAGGAAAGAGGGAGGGAGAGGGAAGAGAAAAGGGAAGGGGGAAGGAAGAGAGGAAAAGGGACAGGGGAGGGAGAGGGGAGGA